TAGGATATATTGATAGACCAAATCCTGACATAAGATATTTCATACAGTGCAGCCTCAAACAGTCCTGAAGTGGGTTCCACCAGTAATACACACACTAAACTTGAAATGAAAACACTGGGTACTGAAAAGTGAAAATAATGTTAATATCAGCAAAATTCCTCTTACTTGTGGTCCAGATTTTTAGAGATGACACTAATTCACAGTTAATTTTAAATTACGTAGAGTGGTCATGATGGAATTTGCAACACAGAAGAAAGTATGGATATGCTAGATTTGCAGACCTTTTTAGGGAACCCTGAAAAGTATTTAGCGGTTATATTTTGTTCTAGGTTTTCTCATTACAAAACTAATTCATAATCATGTTGTGTTGAGAAGGAAAAGGAAACTTGCATCTACTTTATGCAAAACATAATTATCCGCTATATGTTTTAGTGAGATGAACTTGAATCAATTTTTGCTTCTCCTCTGAGATCCTCCAGGTGGCAATCTTGCATCACAGTTAAGTGTATAGTGTTTTTTTGGTTTGTTTTTTGTTTTTTTTTTTTTTTTTTTTTCTGGTATTGAGTCTTTTATATGCTGTTCTTGTGATGGCAACACATGCTTGCTTGAAGTGCTGCAGAGTATACGGCTGTCAGTTGTGAAAATGCTGAATCGTGCATGTAACTTGGACACAGACTCGTTTCATAGACTTGTGCAGCCCTAAACTTGGATGTGGTGGACACAACAGTATATTTACCTCTTCAGTTGGTAGTTATGAAAATAAGCCCATAGATAGCTAGCTATGCTGGAGTAGATTTAAAGTTTGCCTATGTAAGTTTATTCAGCAGTACCATTTCAGCAGTCTGTGGTGCGTGCAGATCTGTTAACTCCCCTGTGAAAATGACTGAGAAAAGAATTATTTCAATTGCAGACTTCAGTAGTTCTGTGCATTTGGAAAACTTTAATCATCATTTTGCTATTGTAGGCATGAATTGTAATGGGACACTTACTTACTCTCCTTTTGACTTTGATAGTCTAACTTAAGTAGGTAGGTCATTAATTTTTATATATTAGATTATCCAGTCTACCTTGATTATGAAACCATTGGTGTGATGCAGTCTGCATTCTTTACAAGACCCAGATTTTATGCTGGGTCTGTAAATACGTGTTTTTTAAATTGAAGGTTTTTCTCCTACCTTGTCCTGAAGAAAGGGCTGGTGTTTTTTGGTTTTAATTTCACAGGGAAGGATTTTGGTAGGACTCGTCATGTCAAATAGCAGATACACTTCAGTTCAGGTTGCAAGCAGCTTCATTCCCTGTCTTCACTTGCTCATTTGTGTAGAGGACACAAAATCCATAACACTGGGACTGAATCTGTTTCTTCTCCAGGTGTTGAATCTGAAATTCAGCATGTCACTAGCTCTCAGAAAAGTGCCCTTTAAGCTGCAGGTGCCCAAGTGGCTGCTCTTTGCCCTGTCTGTATGGAGGGATGTGATAATCACTGTTCCTACTGTTGGTCGTCTTTTTTGTTGCTCTTCAAGGTTACCACAGACTTCAAACTTTCTTTGCTCCTTTTACTGCTCGAGGAACATTTTTGTAGAGAAGCAGAGTGATGTGACTTCCTTCGTTAGTGAGTCAGTGGAGCAAAACAGAAACAGCCAAGGTGCCTGGGTCTGACCCTGCACAGGGCAGCTGTGCCCCAGGCTGTGCTGCAAGGAGTAGATGTGGGGACAGCTGCTCCTGGCTGCTTGAGGGACAATCACTGTAGTTCAGCACTTGAGTAATGCGGGGTTGTGGGCTGGGTCTGGACCTGTGTGAGCTTTGATGGAGTATCATCAGTTTTCCAGGTGTATGATCTCTTGCATCTTCAATTCTCTTCTTTTGATGTCTCTGGGCACTGTAGCCCACTGAGAGGACGACAAAAAGATTGAGTAGCTGTACTTTTGTGCTGCCTAACACATATCTCCACACCTTTTGTTGTCCAAAAGTTCATGTAAACGTCCAAAGCTAACTTGAAGAGGAGAGGAGGCTTCAGTTACGCAAAGCTGAGAATCTGAGTTAGTTTGTAAAAAAAAAAAATCAGTAGGTGATAATGTACCTTGGGAGGAGCCACCTCATGAAGGGTGGGTGTTTGAGTTGGCTTAGGGAAATGTTAGTGTTAATGTTGAAGACTTGGCAGGCAATATTTGAAGACACAAAATACTTCTTGGATATATTTTTGTGTATTTTGAGAGCTGAATGTGAAAAACCAAAAGCCTGTTTAATTCGCTTTTGAAGTTGTAGAAGGAAAAATGGAAAAGGTCAAGAAATGTAAAAATTTCAGTTAAGCTGGGATGTTAATTTGGTTGTGCCTAGTGATTGCTGTTCCTTTCCTTTGTACTTTTTAAATGACTAGCTTTGTAGGGATTTTTGTCTTTAAATGAATTTGATGATTTCACAGTTTTCTTTTTTTAAGAGTTTATCTTTTTATTACCCAGCTGAACAGTTACGTTAATGAGTTTGGTTTGCATTCTGCTTGTAAAGATTAAAGCTGATGGTGAGACTTCATAGTCAATGGCAATATTAGTTTGCAGTTCTGAGAGTGTAAGTGCTCAACAGACTAGTTTTCTGTCAGTTTTCAAAGCCAAATGCTAATTAGAGATGTACAGTCTTTCCAGTTATCTGGCTGAGAAATGGGCCATTCTGATAGCAGAATTTGTCTTTCACATAGCTCTGCTAGTATCTGCTGCAGACTGTATAGCTTGGAAGGAAACTACTTTTATGTTCAACGTTATGTCTTGATGTCTAATGAGGAAGAGTCTTAACAAAAACACTGAAATCTCAACTTAATTTTATTTGCTTGTGTTCTTTCTGGATTTTAGCTTCTAAGTAAGTTAAATTATTTTGTTAATAGGATTGTTTATTACCACTGTAAGATTGTTTTTGTGCAAGCTTTTCAGTAGTAACAGGGAAACCTGTAAAAGAGTAATGTAGCTGTTTTGACAATGATAGTCTATTCAACAGAGTTCAGTATTGTGGTGTATTCAAAGATAGAGGGGACTGAAAAGTGGAGCTTTTGTGGACAGGTGGGGGCAGTGGTGCTTTTGACGCAAGTGCTGGGTGAACCAGCCTGCCCTGCTGTTTGTTCCTGCTCCTGCCCTGCAGTTTATGGTCTCCTCCACTGCACTGATGCCTGAGTGTGTGCTCTCCTGCTGCAAATCAGACAAGTGAGGTAGCCTGTGGTTAAACCAAACCTTAAAGCAGCAGAAAAAGAAGGGTAGAAGGCAGAATTTCTGAAGTTAGATTTGCTACCGAAGAAAAGGAACATAAAAATATTGCCACTGTTGATTTATTTTTTACCAGGTAAACCATTCTGATTAAATGTACACCAACAATGTTATGTGTACTAGGGTAGTTTGGTAATCTCTCTCTGTTTTGCCTCATTGGTTTGTTTTGGAGCATCTGTGGAAATATAAAACTGTCGCTATAAAAATGGCAAGGAGACATTGCAGTCTCTAATAGTCTGGAACAAATACAGAGTTGGGAGGATTTACCTCTATATCCAGTGGTATAGTGGTAAGTGAGGAGGTCACTATCAAATACTGTTCATTTCTAATTAGGATGTTGAGCTGAAGTACTTTACATGAGAGCTTCTGATTATTGTTTGTTGAAAGGATCTGTTAATGAAGTGACAGTGAAGTCAGTTTCTGTTGTGGATAGCACTGGAAACCTAATTTAAAGGTTGTATGGAAAATTAAGCTTCGAAGGCTTATAGAAAATAATTCTGCAGGAATATTAGCTTTTCTGTTTGTTGTTGTGTTTTGTTGGGTTTTTTTGTTTGTTTGTTTTCCCTCAATATAGATGTGCATTAAATGCAGCTGAGAGGAGACTAGTTACAAAGTCTAGGTCATAGCTTCTCATCACTTGTACCTGCTATGGAAATATCTTACTCAGGTGTGTAGGAGAAATGTCCTGAACTGCTTTCAAGGACACTTCACTCCTCTGTATGTTTCTATCCCAAAGCCATTCTAGTTTGTTCTAGAGAACTGGTGTGAGATGAGAAAACATAGCTACAAGGACGTGAGGAGAAACTGTAGGCATCGCAGGCAGCGATGACTTTTTTTTTCCTTATTCTGAAGAGCAGACTACTTGAATTAAGTAGAAGTCCAATTACTAACAAATTACTTGTTTTCAATCCTGTGCAATTTAGCTTTTTGGTCTCACTTGCTGTTAAGCTGATGGATTAGAATATCCTGCTTGAGGTAGCCTGATTGTTTTTTGAAAAACTTCCTGCTTTAGTGGAAGACTATTTCTGTCTTCAGTAGTTTAATGCCCTGTTCTGCAAGATTGGTTTGCATGAGTAGTTCCATTGACTCCCAGCGGACTCTGCATTCAGGCTTCTCAGCACTGGCACAGATGCATAAACTTGCCTCTAGTTTACGCTAATTTACAACTTGGGCTTATTTTGTCTCCAGCCTTTCAGGATGTGAAAGTAGCAGATCCAGACTTGCAGTTTTTGTAGCCCAAGTGTCATGGTGTGTGCCTAATGTTAAACTGAAGTTATTTTAAAGTAAGCGTTATGTCTGTAGTAGCCAACACAGTCATTATTGAATGTTAAACATGTTTTATGTTCTGTAGTGCCAGTAATTAGCTATGAAAATTCTGTATTGAATATTCTTCAGACAAAAAATATTAACTAAGCAATTGTTCCATCATTTAATTTGAGAAGTATTTTACAGTATTGATTTCCATGTTCTGCCTAAAATAGGCATTGTGACATTTTTGTACTTTCTTTGGAGCTGAGATCAGGAGGGCTTTATGGAGCCATGTAATTCTTACGGTATCCCAAGGAAGAAATAAATTGCACGGGATTTGTACTCTGTCTTAAGCCCTTCAAGCACTTCTGTTGCCCTTCTTAATGTAATTTGGCATGTTGTAAATTATACAGATACTAAATATAGTGGCACAATAGGTTTTCTTTTAGTATTTTAATTCATTTATTACATATGACATGTCTGGTTTGTTGTTTTTTTCCCTAATAGGTGCGGGCAAAACACCAACTTTAGGAGGAGGATTCCACGCCAATCTGGGAAAGGAGTCACGAGCACAAACTCTACAGAATGGTACTTGCAAGCTTTAGTCTTGTAGATATGACTTTTTAAATTTTAATTAATATAGTTGATTACAATTAATTTTTAGTTGTGAATCTGACCTCAAAACCTTGGCAGGCCACTCATCATTCAGTAGACAAGTCTGCCTAGTGCTGATTTTACCTTGTGCTCTCATTTGGTTGTTATACGTGATTTATGAGGTCAGGTAGCTGGCTGACAAAGGGTAATGGCACCTGACAATACTATCGTAGTTCAAAAAGGGCTTTTTCAAGGTTGACATGCCCATTGCACCTTTTTATTATTGGTTAACCTGTTGTGGCTTTTTATTTTGTCAGTTTTCAGGGTTCTTGAAATGCTTTATGAGTGTTTATTTTTAAGTATAATTGTTCAAATGCTTTTGTTTTTATTCAGTGTGTGAGCTAATGTGTATATTTATGCACACTTCATAGTAATCGTGCTTAATATATGACTGTTGAACAGAGAAAAATGGGAAAAAATATTCTCATTATGTCCTATACATTTTGTTTGAGATCTGCATAATCTACACTCTTTAAAGAGAATGAATAAAACCAGCTTTTATTCCAGAAACGGAATGGCCTTCCAGTTTCAGTTGCTGTTACTTGTATCAATGGAAAGTTGTCATCATTTTTTGGCTACTTAATACTCTATTCTCATGACTCTTGGCGATGACAGCTGATGGACTGTCATATCAAAGACTCAGAAGCTGACATGTAATTAACCAAGGGATGGAGATGGGTTTTACTGGTATGATGCTCATTTTGGGGAGATATTTTAGATAAGGGTATTTTCCTAAATTAAAGTTTTATACTCGCAACTTAAACACAGAAAATCTTACCTGATACTATGCCTGCATAGGTATATAAAGGATAAAATTGATCTGATATTATATCTCCATAGGTATTGAAAAGTTAAGATTGATCTGTGTTGTTGAAATACAGCCAGATTTGCTTAACTCTACATTATTCAGTTGATTTATATACAGATTGTTTTAAATACAGAATGCTTTATTCAGCTGTTTGTACTGAACAGTACTGAGCCCTGCTTGTTTGGCAGAGTAAAGCTTAAGTTTCATGTGAGCTAGTTTCAGTGTTAGGGCCAAAGTTATTATCTTACACAGACATTTTAAAAACTCATAAAATGTGACCTGTATAAGCAGTGGAATAAAACCACTAGAATACCTTTTACATTTAGTGAGGTTTGTCTTTGGATGAAGGACTTTAATCAAAACTGTAATTTTACACAGGCTTTTCAAAAATAAATTGGCTTGTCGTGCATAAGGACTGCCCAGTTTCTTGTCTTTAATTGTAGAAAAGTAAAATGCTGAGGGGAGAAAACGCTGTCCTATTGCTTCTTGGAGCATTTGAATCCTTCAAAAGCCCTTTTGGTTATGCTGAAATGTAATCACAATTTAAAACAGTGTAGGCGTTCTTCTGGAATCTAAACATGGCTTCTTTCTTGGATGAGTGTTTGCTGGGGAATATGTCTGAGCATCTTCCTTCCCCACAGCTTTTATGCGTGGGGCTTGCCTAATTGCACACAATGATTCTGACTTGGCTAAAGTTGATCAGCATCATATCCAGGAAATTATAATTGCTTTAAATGAAATTATCTCCCCAACAGTTTTGAAACAGGAAAATAATTTTTCTTTTTACTATACCTGTCTGAGGCTCTTAGTGTGTTTTCTTCTCTCTCTTTTTTTTTTTTTTTTTTGTGACTGTCCTTTATATAAGAAAAAAGTATTTGATCTTTGATTTCTGTAGCCACCCTGTATTTGTCACGCTGCTGGTCTGTTTCTGGGAAAGTTCTTTTCAATGAGTTAAGTGATGTTCTTGTTCAGTCCCAGGCATGACAACAGCAGCTGAAATTTCAGGTAGAGCAATTGGTGTTTGAAAGGCTTTTCTTTCTGCTGCTGTATAATGAGCTAATTGTCTGCTGCGTTTAATCACACTTTTAGCTTTATATAATTTTTAATTGCAAATTGAGCTATGGCAATGAACTTAAAATCTCGCCCTGTCACTGTATGCCCATGATCATGGCTTTTTTTTTTTTTTTTTTTTTTTGTGAAATCATATTTAAATCCATTGTGTTTAGACTTGAAAGTGTAGCAAGGTAAATGAACTTACTGTATATACTTTAAAGAAAAAGTATGAGGTTGTTCATTGAGTGAAACTGAGGTGCACTGATAGTTGACCATATTGAAAAGGAACAGTTATCCTTGGAGTGCTATGCTGCCTGATCAGAAAAAGCACTGAGCTACTTATTTAGCTGTTTGCTGGTGCTACCACTTTGCATTCCCAAAGTTAACTGAGTGGCAAAGGAAGTGCTGAAGTGAGCTCCTGTGGGGATGCTGGTGTGGCACAGCTGGTGAGAGTGCTTCAGTAGGCCTGTTCTGCAACTCGCTGACGGCCCTTACGTCAAGGCTGCTGCTACCTTCAGCCGTGTCAGCACGGGATTTTCTCCTCGATGGTTCTGTACAGGCTGTTGCCAAAGGGAAGGGAACCAGACTCTGGAAAGCAGGGGTGGACGGCGGAGCCCAGGCTGCGCTGGAGGTTGTCCCCAGTGTATCCGAGAGCAGCTGAGAGTGTGTGTGTGTGGTCTGGGAGCGCTGGCAGGTCTCGCACTGTGCCGGGTCTGCTTGCCAGCAACCTGCAGGCTTGTCATGATGCAGGGAAAAGTACAGCAATGGAGCAGAGACTTGCTGGTTTTTAAAAGACAACCACGCCCCCCTGCTTTCCCTTCCCTCCCCCATGTAGTTTGGGCCAAATTCTTCCTTGCTTTAATGTCTGTCTTTTCAGGGGAGGTGAAAGGGATGTGATCTGGGCTCACTGTTACTTAATCACTGGCAAAGCATCTGGGATTGGCTGAACGTGTGATGCTGAAATTTTTTGAAGCTTACAATGAAAGAAAGTTTAGAATTAGATGAAAAACGTTTTTTTTCATTAGGATACCCAAGGTAATAATTTTACAATTTGTTTTCTTTTCCTCCATTCTGAAGTGAAGAAATGCAGAAGTAAAATCTCCCAACAACTGCTCAGCAGTTGTGGACTCTTCTACAATGTTATTACTTTGTGCATTGGTGTTTTTGTATATATGCTCTAAACAAAGCCATGAGCAAACCCTGAAGGTGTTATAGATTCCAGGTTTATACAAGAATGTCTGATACACAGAACTAGTCTCACTTATCACGCTTGCCTTTGTTGAATGTTTCCTTGCTACTTCCAGTGTGGTGGTGCATGGCAGTTCATAGTCTCTGCCTTTCTTTGCTGAACCAGCTGATGTTTGTGGGTGTTCGTTTGGGAATTGGCTGCTTATAAAAACTAGAGTCTTGTTTACACTTGCTAAAATATGTATGCAGGAAAGACCTAATAATTTGTATTTGTTCATAATCAGTTTAATTTTCAGTGTGCGGTACTGTGCTAATTCAGCGTACTAAGCTCCACAAGTTCAACAAGCTTGGGTCCACAAAATGCTTAGTTATCTGTTCATATAGAGCTCATTTTTGTAGTAAAAGCCTATGAGATTATGTGAAGAGTTTCAATTTTGTTGTAAAGGATTTGACAAAATAGCCAGACAGTACTGTTTTTGTAAGGAAAGAAGAATTATGAATAAAATACTAGCGCAGAGAGGGGACGCTTTGACGAGACTTCTTCCACTGGTGCCTGAGCCTCTTCAAATTGCTACAGTATTGCTCAGCATTTATGGTTTCTTCCAGGGCTGAAATACAGAGTTCTGTCTCTTTAAAAATCTCATTTTACAGCACAGCACCACATTACATAATCTCTCTAAATAGCTGGTTTATTCTTGTTTCCTTGCAGGCAATCTGCTCTCGCTATATCCATGTCACAGTCGTAGTTACAAGGGAGTTGTTCTTGACTTGGAGCTCTGATACTTTCAATAGTCAATAGTGGCCAAAAAGCAAAGGGAGAGGGGAAGGAAGGTCAATGGCGTGATTATAACTTGAAAGCTTCAGTTGCAGATATTCAAATTTGGTTTAAACTGAGTTTGAAGATTGCAGCTGCGTCTAGCTTAATCCAATTTCTGAACTGTTGTGCTGTGTTTTTAACCACTTCTTTAAATGAATGTGTGTTTTCCATCAGTCCTCTTAAATACCAAAACATAGCTAACAGTATTTTAATGCTAAATGGGAAAGCATTTCTGAAGATGTTCTCTAATGCATTTTTGACTGTTTGCAGTTAAACTATTTGCTTAATTCTTTAGCTTTCATTGTCATCACTAATTTCATAGCTGGTTTATTACAAGTGATTATGGAGGGCTCTACTTCCTGCCAGAACTATACAGCATGAATTAGATGAGTATAACGTATTATATGCATGAAGAACAGCAGTGTCCAAAGAAGGGGAACAGAGAATGCTTACAAACAAGGGAGGAGAGGATAGTAGAATCCTAGAATAATTTAGATCGAAAGGGACCTTCAGAGGTCCACAAAGTGTTGGCTTTGAAGTTGCATTAAGCTGCTCAGGGCCTAGTGCAGCTGAGCTTTGGGTATCCCCAAGGAAGGGTATGATACCGTCTTCCTGGGCAACCTGTTCTCTAATGTTTGGCCACCCTCACCATGAAGAATTTTTGCCTTGTATCTAGTCAGAACTTATTTTGTTGAAATATGTCTCTTGCTTCTTGTTCTTTTGCTGTTCATCTCTGATGATTCTGGCTCCATCTTCTTTATAACCTCCCACTGAGTAGCTGAATACACCAGTGAGACCTCCCCCTTATCTTTCTCATGTTAAGACTGAGCAAATTCAGCTGTCAGCCTCACGCCGTGCGCTCCAGTCTCCTAATCATCTTAGCGGCTCTCTGCTGGACTTGCTCCAGTATGTCAATGCCTTGTCTGGTGCAGAGGAGTCCTGAACTGGACAAAGTACTCTAGATATAGTCCCACAAGTGCTGAACAGGGGATAACGATCACTTCCCTTGGCCTGCTGGCTACAGTCTTAATAGTGCAGCTCCAGGATGCAGTTAGCCTTCATCACCGC